GCTCTGGCTTAAAGGCACTTGAATGCTGCAGCCAGAGCAAATGTCTGGGGTGTGTGAAGGGTTGAGGGTGGGCAACCTTCTAAATCCACACTGACTTCTGCAGAATGGAAAAGGCTTAAAACCCTTGTGCCTTCTGACCCAGCAACTTCACTTCTGAAAATCTGTTCTAAAACCATCAAATAATAGAAAAAGATCCAGGTATGGCCAAATGATAGAATTAGTAGATAAAAATATGGAAAGACATACCTGCACGTTTAAGAAGTTAAAGGAAAGCTTGAGCATGTTGAGAAGGATAGAAAATATTTAAAAAGACACAGATTAAATTTGTGGAGAGAAGAAAAACGCAGATGTGAAATATACAGTGGAGAGGATCAGCAGCAGATTAGACAATGCAGAAGCAAAGGTTAACTATTTATTCTGTTTACTATGAGCAGCAATGGTGAGGGCAACCAGGATGCTGCTGATGGGAGGAGTAACCCTAGCTCCCACGTATTGATCTATAGCTGTGGACCAAGCCCTATTATGTGTTGCATTAGTCCGTTTTCTGCTACTATAATAAAATACCTAAGATTGGATACTTTTTAAAGAAAAGAGGTTTTAGAGGCTGGACGCCCCAGATTGGGTGGCCCCATGGATTCTGCCTCTCATGAGGTCCCCTCAGCTGGTCCCACCGTGGCAATAGCATCATGGCACGTATGAGAGGGAGAGACTGCGTAGTGAGAGAGGAAGCCACAGGGGCCGGAAGGAGTCTGTTTCTTAGAACTCCACACGGAGGACCAGGCTCCCAGTGCGTGAGTCCTTGGAGGACACACTCATCCATTTCCAAAGCAAAGCACACATCTGCTCCCCTGACCCTCATCATGATCCTTAAAGTCCCACCATGCTCACTCCTGTCTGACACATGAACAAGAAGCAGAGGAACAACTAAGCCATTTGTTCCAGGTTGACAACTGGGACATTGGGAGGATCAGGTTCCCACTCCAGGCTGTCTGGGTTTGCGTCCCACCTCCTCTGTCCTTGTAACCTCCATGTAACACCATAGTGAGCCATCGTGTTGTTGTAACAGCGTATGTCCCTGAAGGAGGCTAGGTGAGCAGGCTTTGTGTGTATTATCTCCAAACCTCCCAGCAGAGAATCAGGCAGGGGTGGGGAGGGGATGGCCTCATTTTACACAGGAAACCAAGACTTGTGGAGGTGAAGTGATTTTCCCAGGGTCCCACAGCTGGTAAAAAAATGTGCCCGAATTTGAACCAGGTGTCTCTGATTCCAAACTCATTCTGCTAGATGTGCCCTGGAGCTGCTAGAAGCGCCTGGGAAACTGTGTAGTTAGAGTTTTTAGGGCCTCGTTGCAGCATCAAAACATCCTTCTCTTTCACTAGGAAGAAGTTTCTGGAATCAACAAAAAGCTTGTGGTTTTGCCTATTTATGCTGTCACCCAAGGCATACAGAGTAGTAGGAGGCAGCCACATGATGCATCAAGATCCCAGATCTAGAAGACGAGTTTTATCTGGGTATGGTGGCGAATGTCTGTAATCCCAGCACTTGGTGGAGCTGAAGCAGGAGGACTGCACATTTGAGGCCAACCTGGACTACATAAACCCTGTCTCAAAACAAACAAACAAACAAACAAGATGGTTTTTAGGGTAAAACACTGTTTAGACCAGTATGTGAGGATGACTTTTGGGTATACTGAGGGAAATGTAACAAAGAAAATATCAGATGGGAGGAAACTTCTGAGGCAATGGACATTGTATGGCCTGATAGTGGTGATGGATTTACAGGTTTACATTTATTCTCAAATTCATTGAGTTGTATACATTAAATGTATATAGCTTATGGCATACCCACATAGCTCCATAAAGAGTTTTTTTTTTTAAGAAAAAGAACATTCCAAAGATATCTACTTTACCTCCTGATCAATTATTTTGTATAGATTGTCTTCTTGAATATGAGGTGGTCAGTTGGTTGACTGAGTCGAGGAACAAAGGCAAAAGGATTTTAAAGAGAAAGGGAAGAGAGATAGAGAAAGAAAATCAAACACAATAAACCTCCCAGCAGTAACAGTTTTGGGTGTGAGCTGATTAGTCAGAAGCAGTGAGGTCAGCCTGGAAATTGTGTCCTTGAAGAGCCTCTGACAAACATCAAAGTACCGCCTTCTGCTGTCTGTGAACAAGGTCACCAGGGAGCCCTTGAGGCTGATGTCTGTGTGCAATGCAATGTCTCGAGTGCATCCTGACAGCTGCACCTCTACCCTTGTTGGGCTGGGCCCTCATCATTTGTCTCAGTAGGACTCTCACACATCATCTGGGGCAGACCTTCCACAGGCTCAGTGTCAACACACATCCCTTCCCTTCAAACTGTGTGTGTGCCTTTGCTCAGCAAGTACGAGTGAGGAGACTGTTCTGCATGTGAAGTGAGATATCTCTTCTTCCACTGCACTAGGATGGTAAAAACAGGAAACGACATATGTGTCCATCAATAAGGGATTCATTAAACAGTATAGCTATATAGTGGAATGCGAGGCTGCCTTTGAAAATGTTACTGCAGAAGAATAGAAATAGGTTCAGATTTTATCAGTAAATGGAAGATAGTCTACATGTATGTGTGCACACTACAGAGAGTAGGTAGATGGGTGGATAGACAATAAGACCAGGACATACATCAAGATGTTAATGCTGTTTAGCAGAGTTACAAGTGACTCTAAATTTCTTGTTTATGTTTTCCAAATCTTCTACACTGGATATGTGTTTCTTTTATCAACAAGGAAAAAAACTCAGGTATTTCCCACCCCCAGAAAAGAGGAAGTAGAAGCCTCATTAGTCACTTCTGCTGGAGCTGGGGGGGCAGGGGGCGGGAGGCGGGGGGCGGGCGCTAGGCTGGGGGGGGCATGTTTCACATAAGGGGCTGCCGAGGTGGAAGGGGACCTCCAGGGCTCCCTGCATTGCTCCTGCTGGCATCATGGAACTTGTCCTGCTGTGTGGACTGCTGATGATGACTGGTGAGTGGGGACAGGATGCATGGCTGGCAAGGAAGGAGGAATGAGAGCAAGCCCGATACCAGTGGTGGTGAACCTATGGCACACATGCTGCAGCAGACTGTTATCACTGAAAGATCTAAAAGGTTCACCATCACTGCTCTCCTCCCTAGACCCGCAATGCCCCAGTCTCCTACCCTTCCACACTGTAAGGAGCCATCCACGGCTACCAGTCCCTGGGAAAGCAGCTTCAGCCCAGTGAGATGTGGGCAGCCAGCCTGTGTGGTGTGCCAAACCTGGGGCGATGGCGCTACAGAAATGGAATCTCCGTGTCCCCACTTTTGATGGGATTAATGGCAATCTTTAGAGTCCTTTGAAGTTCATTATCACTGAACCTGGGAATAGGGTTCCCTTAAACTGTGGCAGGAAGAGGAGCTTGGGGGCAGTTTCTATTCAGTATTTAGCAGATCAAATGTAGAAATGTGGCTGCTAGCAAATTGGCCTTCTTCTTCTTGTTGCATCTTTTAAAAGGTCTTGTATTTTTGTTTTTTTTACTTTTTTCCATTAAGTTTATTGGTACATTTTAGGTATACAATACGGTTACATTCATCACTGGGATCTTGTACCTTTACATGATGTATCTTGATTCTTATTTTTTTCTATTCCCCTGCCCTCCCCTATTTACAAAGACTTTGTTTTCATTTTTTCCTTTTCTCATATTTTTTCTTTTCCCTTCTGTCCTTTCCCATACCCCCCCCCACTTAGAATGGTCTTATATTTTTAAAAAGTGATTTTATGTGTTGTGGAACTCCCAAATTGTTCAAACTCCTCCAAAGTTAAAGTGAAAACCATTAAGAAGTTTCCAAATAAATAATAAATTCATTTCTGACATAGAGATCCAGTAGAGTAGCTGGGCATGGTAGCATATGCCTGTAATCCTAGCACTTGGGAGGTTGAGGTAGAAGGATCTGAAGTTCATGTATGGCCTAAGAAACTTAGGAGACCCTGTCTTAGAATAAAAAATAAAAAGGGTTAGGGATGTAGCTCAGTGGTAGAGCACCCTTGGATTCAATCCCTATTTCGGGGTGGAGGGAGAAGAACCAATACAGTTTAGAGATAAAATTTATAAATGAACCCATTTCCTGGCAGCATGACCTTGGCCAAGCCACTCCACCTTTTCATATCCTCTCCATGGGGATGTCAGAGGGACTTAATGAGAGAATAGATACCAAGTGTTGAGCAAGTGTAAGTGGGAGTAAACAATTAATAGTGTAACACATGGCAGGAGCACAAAGATAGTAGAGATACTGCCTGCTGCCATTCTGCCCCAGGCTACCAAGACAGGAATTGCTAACAGAGCGAGCCAGGTCTCCAAAGCCCCCATAAGCTCCATTTCTCAGGCTGAGTTGTCCTCATCAGAAAATTATGAGAAATAAGGACCCCTCCACCCCTGCCAAGCGTTCAGAATCAAAGCTGAACAGGATTGCTTGTCTGCAAAGGGGGAGCTGGGCCATTCCTGTAGGGGAAGAGGTTAGTGAATCTGTGAGTCCAAATTAGAAGGGCTGGTTTGGGCAAATAAAAGAAAAATGAGCAGAGGAACACTGAGAAAGCAAGATTCTGAATTCAGGTCTTTGGTTGGTCCGCAAGGTGGCTTCTAACTCTCTTTGCCTTGAGATTCCTTATCATGCAATCTAGGAATCCAGGAACTCCAGCTGGGAATCCCGGATGATTCCATTCATCAGCACAGTTAGAGCATCTACCAGATTTCTCTTCAGTGTTCCATTCAGCTAGAGCCAAGGTGTCAGACAGGACTGGCAGTATGGATGCCCACACACCAAGGACACAACAGGCCAGTCACGTCCAGTTGCAGCCCAAGGCCACCTGCTTGTAATCTCACCTTTTGTCCACAGCATGAGACCCTCCCAGCCCCCTTCCTATCTTAACCTCCTCCATGTGGGGCTCACTCCCTCTTCACTGCTTACTCTGTGTGCCTGGGGAGTTTCACTATAATCTCATTTACCCAGGGGTGAATGGGGAGGACTATAAACCATGGTCACCCAAATGGGGCTGCCCCATCCCATCTCCCTGTGACTCAGCTGCATCTGGGCATGCATTGGCTGTGTTCCTGAAGGATCTGCCAGAGTGGCACACACATACACTTCCATCCTCTTGTCTGTTTCTCCCACCTTATCCCTGAATTCATTGACTTAATGTATTTTATTTTTCCTAACTCAGCATAATGTATCCCTCTGCCTCAATAAAATAGATTCCCCTTATGATTGATTTTTGCCAGCAGCTATTATGCCTGAAATGAAAATCATTGATTTCTAGATCACACTGCTTCCCAGGAGAGCCGCACATGCTCTTAATGCTCAGATTTCTCCAGGGGCTGCAGGGAGGGATGCGGGAAGAAGAGTGAGTCAGGGTTCTTTTTCCTGTTGTGAGTAGGAAGTCAATGCTCAGACACAGAATAGATCCAGACTGCCTTGGGTCCAATTCTGGCTCCATTTACTACTCACCATGACCTTGAGCAAGTTAAAATAGGGATTAAAAGCTGGGCATGGTGGCGCATGCCTGGAATCTCAGCCTCTAGGGAGGCCGACGCAAGAAGATCTCATGTTCAAGGCCAACCTGGGCAACTTAGGGAGACTCTCCCTCAAAATAAAAATAAATAAACAAATAGTGCTGGGAGGGATGTAGCTCTGTGGCAGAACACACCTGAATCCTATTCTTTGAACCAAAGGTGGGGGATTAAATGGTATCCTCCTCCCCTTAAAGATATTCATTATACCAATATTAATTTTAACCAATGCACCATAATTAAACAAGATTATAACATTAGAAGAAACTGGATGAGGGGAATATGGGAGCCTTGGTACCATCTTTGCCATTTTATATCACAACTATTACAAAACAAAAAGTTTATTAATGTTAAAAAATAATATTTATCTTCTGGGATGGAGTCAATAAATCAATGCACAAAGAAATATATAGTAAGCACTCAACAAGTCATTGTATTTATATTTTATTTTTATTGTTTTGGTTCTGGGGATGGAACACAGGGCCTGGTGCCTGCTAAGCTTGTGCTCTACCATTGAGCTGTACCTCCAGTCCCACTATGCAGCAGCAAAAGTAGTTGTCATTATTTTATTACCGTTATCATTCAAGGTCACTCATTTGGTCCAGGCACAGCAGAGGTGCCCGCCTTGTGGCCCCTGGCATTCCTATGACATTCATGCTCTCTCCTCATTGCTGCTTGGCAGGTGTGACTCCAACCCAAGGAGGGATCCTGAACCTGAACAAGATGATCTGGCAAATGACTGGGAAGGTGGCCTTCTTCAACTACTGGTCCTATGGCTGTTACTGTGGCCTTGGTGGCAGAGGCCAGCCCAAGGATGCCACAGACTGGTAACCCCCTCCCCAGGCCTGCAGGTGGCGATCTTACCCTGGGACTTTCTCCTTTCTTCTCTAGCAGTGACTCATTTTGTGAATTCCTCTCATAGAGCATGTGCTATGTGCTCGGAAGTCCTGAGTCCCAACCCTCTTGGAGCTGACCTTCTAGAAGTTTCCCCAGAGTCTCTGAAGGCCTGACCCCTTGCACTCCCACACGCTAATCTAGATACAGTGCCCACACACTTCTCATTCACATCACACATTGTTTTCAAAAGCCTCACTTCTTTTTTTCCATCTCATTTGAGATATGCCAGGGGAGGAGGCCAGCCGGGCCTGGGGCCATTTTCCTTGACCTCCCTGAGTCTGTGTCCCAGTACCTCTGCCATGGGGTGATCATGAGGTCATGGGAGAATATTCGGAGATAAAGCAGGTACCTGGTGCATTGGAAGCACTTGATCAATGTCAGCTCTTGTGATCCCAAGGAAGACCAGAGCCCTGAAGGCCTTGCCTCTTCCAGGGTGGGCACAGGGGAGCAGTAGCCAGAAATCTAAGCCAGCTAATGACCCTTGCAGCTGCACCTCACCTTCCCCACCCACTGTTCTCTCCCGCTAGGTGCTGCCAGGAACACGATTGCTGCTATGCCCTCCTGAAGACCCACAGATGCAGGAGACAGACAGATTGCTACAAATACACCTTTTCCCAGGGCGACATCCAGTGCTGTGAGTGCCCCGGCCTCAGCGCTGGAGCTGGAGGTCCAGGAAGGGAGTTCTGGCCCTCACTGCCTTTATAGGCTGAGTGACAATGCATCTGTGACTCAAGCTCTCTGTTCTTGTCCTGTGTCCGGTGACAGCAGCAGGGGTGCGGAGGAGGGGCAGGAGTGGACGCTGGGGTGTGGAGAGGTCCAAGGGGCAGTTTGACCCTTTTGGCACCTGGAGGTGAAGCCCAGTACTGACCAGCTCACATGACCAAGAGCCCATTAACTTAACCTCTCTGAACCTCAGTATTCCAATCTCTAATCTACTCCCTAGTTACTCAGGGACTAAAATGAGACCAGCAGGTTGGACAGGCTGCCCATTTTACTGTAACTCTTTTCGCCATGACTGATCCATATAACACCTCAGCAAGGAAGCCGAGACTTTGATCCTCTCCATTCTTACAGACAAGAAACCCCAAACTGGAGTGGGGAAGTGTTTTCCCAGGCCATACAGCTATAAATGACAGGCTCTGCGCTGATACCCAGGCCGTCGGGCCCCTGGGTGTGCTGTGTTCCCAGCATGGAGAAAGATGGCAAAGGGCTTGTCCCCCTAGACACTATTCATTGAGGACTTAAGAACAACATCTGGCATTTATTGAGCACATACTGTATGCTAAGTGCTTTGCCTTCTTGCTTTCTTACTCAAGCCTTCTGAGCTGCTGCTACTATGAACCATACTTAACTGATAATGAAGCTGAAGCTGGTGAGCCTCCTGCTGGTCTTGGTACACACTGTTCCCAGCCTGGACTGCTCCTCTCTCCACCCCAGATTTCCCTGGAAGGCGCAGCCCCTTCAGATCTCAGTTCTGGTGGCTCCTGGCCACCCTCCTGCTTCCATCTGGTGCACTTCATGACTTCATTCTGCTATTCTGTAACCCCTGCCCTCACTCCCCCCCGGTACATTTTATTCTGACCTCTCCCTCTGGGACCAGCCTTGTGGCAAGTAAAGGAGGCAGGGCACACAGGGAGGTCACTCACATGCATGCCCATGGCCTTGCAGGCAGAATCAAAGTTGCTGAGCAGGGGCTGCACCACCTTCAGAGACCCTAGTCCTGCCTCTGCTCTGCCACAGTGGCAGACAGGCACTGAGCTGCCCCTCCTCCACCCACAGCTGACAAGGGGAGCTGGTGTGAGCGGCAGTTGTGTGCCTGTGACAAGAAGGTGGCCTTGTGCCTGAAGAACAGCCTAGACACTTACCAGAAGAAACTGCGGTTCTACTGGTGGCCCAAATGCAAGGGCCCGACTCCTCCGTGCACCAGTGCTGCCAACCTGATTGTTCCCGGCCTCCCAGAATGAAGGGGAGCTGCCCTGGGTAGCATACACCATGCATAATATAGTTAATGTATGTAAACCGCAGAACTTCCTGTTTATTTTTATTGATTGATTGAGTTTTGAAATAGGGTCTCACTCTGTAGTTCAGGCTGGCCTTGACCCCACTATATAGCCCAGGCTGGCCTAGAACTTGCAGCGATCCTCCTGCCTCAGCCACCCAACTGCTGGGATTACAGGTGTTTACCACCATGCTTAACAAAACTTCTGTTTTTAAAAATATTTTTTATTAGAATACAGGCATGTCCAACCCAAGGGCCCCAGGTTAGGAGGAGACAAGACCCCTACCCTGTTCCAGGACATCTTGGGCTATGGAAGTCCTACAGCATTGCAACATCCCTCCTGACCAGTCCAGCTTTCAAACCCAACAGCACCCCGGAAGGGAGTCTAGCCTTGCCCAAACCTGCTGCTTTGACCTTCTGAATCTCTAGCCCCACTCCGGCCCAGGCAGCAGCAGTTTCCTCCAGGGAAACAGCTGGATCTTGGGGAAAGCTGAGGCCAGGCAGCCCCAGGGATGATACTTGAGTCAAAGTGTGTGTCTGTGCATTCGGTGGGGTTCTGGGGGGAAGTGTGGCAGGTTCTCTGTGTGGCCCCGTCTCACTCCCTCCAGGGCTTTCCAAGATGCACTCCAAGTGGCTGCTATAAAGGGCAATCCTGGTCCTCCTGTCCATGTGCCTCTCTTTTAAAACCCCAAGTTCCTCCTCAGGCCCAGGATAAAGACCCTCAAAGTGTTTGGATCCCACCATCTGATGCTGTGTCCGTCTCCCAGACTAGGCTCTGAGGTCCCTGCAGGCGAGGCCTCGGCCTGTCTCTGGCTCAGTTGTACCTTGGTGTCCAGAGAAGCCACAGAGCTGAGCCTGTTTTTCCCTGACCCTGGTATGTGCTGGGGTGCTCTCTCCCAGACTCCTCGGGGGTGGGGGGGAAGGGCTGCTTCCCAGGAGACTGAGATGTCTCCCTGGATGATTCCTCCTTCCCAGGTCAGATGGCTCACTTCCTCCTCCGAGGTTCCCTAGCACTTTCTGGGGCTGCCTTTACCAAGCTTTGCTGTGAGTGATAAATGTGACTAGACTAGAGCTCCTGGAGGCCATCTCTGACTTATCCCACATACTAGGTATTCAGTTAATGCTGTGGCTCAGATGAGCCCATAATGGGTGGAGGAGATTGGAGCAGATGTTGATATCCCACCCAGCTCTCCTGACCCAGGCTCTCCCTTCCCAGTAAGGCCCGGAACTGTCTGCTGAGTGCTCCAACCTGCCTCTCCTCTCTGACAGACTTCCCTATCTCCTGGGAGCTACCTCACCCCAGTCCCCACCCCTACCTGCCAGGAAGCTATCTGTGACAGAGGACCAGGAGGGTACAGCACTGTGGGGGGATAAGATCCCATCTGCCTTGCCTGTGTGCAGGGCTGTCTGGGTGGTACAGCGTCCCAGAGTCCCACCTGGATCCAGGTGTTAGGATGCCCCAGACACTCTTCTTCGCTCATCCACCCCTGGCCTGGCCTGTTCTCCTGGTTCCTGTACAGGTTTCCCCAGACAGCACTCCTTCAATAATGCACTTGCACAAGAATCCTCATCTCAGGCTCTGCTCCCAGGAGACACATTTCACATAAATAACCTTTTCACACATAAAGATCCCTGATTGTTACTCATGCATGATTGGCTGTGCTTCCAGCCACCAGGCTGAGGCACCTGGGGCCATCCACACTCTCTAGCCTGTGACCTACAACTGTACAGTGACTGATGGAGGAGTTTTCTCCAAGACCACTGGCTCCAGTAAGGCAATGTGGGAAGAACACAGAACCATAGGCTCTGAGTGCAGAGTCTTACTTGGTGTCCCACTCTAGTGGGGGACAGTTAAGGTGAGGACAGGTGCATGGGTAGAGATGGGGTGGGGAAATCTCTGTATCTTCCACCTAACTTTGCTGTCAACCTAAGACTACTACTTAAGAAACAAAAATTTTAAAAATTTAAAAAATGTTTCCACCCACTAAGCAAATGCGCCTTACCTAAGGAACTTCAGTTTCCTTGTGGGCAAAATCCAGACAAAAATTAGAAGGAAACAAGCAGAAGTCAGGACAATTAAGGGTCCAATAAGGTTAGTGTGAGTGAACTCTGAGGACAGTGTGCCTGGCACATGGTGGCCCTTGGAACTTGGTGACCAGATCTCAAGTCACTCCCAAGGGGAGAATGAGTTCACTAATGTTCATCGATGTTCCCTCTTCCCATCCAGCTCTTCTTTCAGCTGGATTCCCAGGCACAGTGTGCTCTTATCAGGAGCTTGGAGCCCCATTTGTCCCTCAGAGTTCCCTGCAGCTCTGTGCAGCGCCTCTCTTGATCTCAGTGTCAGCTGACAAGGGCATTATTGCCCTTTTTTATACTTGAGGGATCTGAGGGTCAGAGAGAGGACAGAACCTCCCAAGGCCCCCTAATCAGCAAAAGACCCAGCCAGGAGGATTCTACCCCAGGGCCTTTTCCCTCTGCTCCTGTGTCACACCCCCTTTGTACTGGTCGAAGAGCTTCCAGTTAAGGTTTGGGGCTGTAGCTCAGTGGTGGAGCATTTGCTTAGCATGTGTGAAGTCCTGGATTGGATACCCAGCACCCCTGCCTGGGCTCCCCTCACTCTCCTAGCTTTGGGCAGAGGGGCAGGAGGGTCATGGCTCCAAGATGGCAGCCATGGCTCTAGCCCTCAAGCCAGGATGAGCATCCAGTGAAGATACTGTCTATTCCTGTGTCTGGGAACCAGTGCACAACAGAGTTCCCCCTTGGGACTGGTCACCCTAAAGCAGCTGTGACCCAAGACAACAGGAGTAGCCTGGTTGGTTTAGATTCCTTGGGATTTATTTACCTCCTAGAGGGTACAGAGTAAAATTCCCTGCAGGGTGGGTAGCTGTTGGAATCAGCATGTTGGGGTTGTTGATAGAGTTGTAAGCCCAGGCTGAGGACTAAAATGTACTCCCCGGGAAGGTAACTTGGGGTCAGAAACAGGGTATCACTTCCCTGCATGACCACCTTGTCGCTTGGTGCAGGCCTGGCGCTTTGTGGGTGTTCAGTGGGTGTTATGTAATGAGTGCTTTTAGATAGGTAAAGAAGTGGGCCAGGAGGCAATGGGGACAGATGAGGCCTCAGGCAGCCAGGACTTGGTTGGGATCAGGGAGATGCTCCCACACTGAGTTCTTGTTCTGAACCAATTCTGGATGATTCAAACTGAACAAGAGCCAGAAAGGAAGGAGAGACTCCAGGGGGTATCTGCTCTCCACCCACACCTCTCACAGACACCTGGATGAAGATGGCCAACTGAAAGGTGCAGCGCTAACTTCCTGTTTCCGCCTGAGCTAGGCTCTGCAGTGGGAGCAGACGAGGGCAGACAGTGGGCACCTGACATCAGACACCCATGGTGCCCACCTACTCACTCTTCTCCACAACCTGGAGACGCTGTTATTGTTCCCTGCATCATACAGATACAGAAACTGAAACTTTAGGAGTGAGTCACTCTCTGATAAGTGGCAGGGCTGGAATTCGAACCCAGGTCTCTCTGGCTCCAGGGTTATGTTGCACCCTAACTCCTACACTCTTTCCTGGGACAGCTCCTGACTCAGCCCTTTGTTCCTGAAGAAAATTAGCTACACCTAGGGACCATGAGGTGGAGGTGGAATGTAGCAAAGAAGGAAACCAGAAAAAATAAGCATAACAGTCACAAGGATGCCAAGAATGGCCCTCAACTGGAGCCTTCTATTCAGAGGTCCCCCTCAGCCCCAGCCCACCCATTGGTGGGTGTCATCCTCAAGCTTCCTGGGTCCAGGGTTCTCCTTCCAGGGGCCCAGCTGGGCAGAGTGATGGCCCATAACATGTCCAACCCCCTGACTGCTTTTCCAGCTGGATTCTTCTGCAGAATGCCGAAGCTCCTGTCATCCGTCATCCACTTCTGTGCAAGTGGGCTGGACTCTGGTGCCACCCACCTTGCTTCAGTGCTTCCTGGAGGGAGGTGGGGCATCTGCACTTGGGGTCCCAGACATCCTTGCCCCTTCCTGAGGTCAGCTCAGAGCCGTCCTGACCCCAGGGCACCCTGGATGGCTCAGAGTTGGGAACTGGCTACTCCGCTCTCCAGCTGGGGAAGCCCTGTGCTTTCTCTAGAGTTCTCTGATTTTTGAAAATTTTAAATTAAAGAAGAGATTTTCAAACAGTTTGAGGAAGCTCACTGTGGGTCGCAGAAGACAGACTGAGGGCTCCTCTCTATTCTCTTTGAGCTTTAGGTCCTGTGTGAGCCCTGCTGTCTCGGGGCCTCTGCTTGGAGATGCTTCCCAGCTCTAGGCAAGATGCTTTTCTCATCCAGAGCCTCATTTTCCCTCTGAGAAAATCCCCCACCTCACCCCTGAAGCAAATGCCTCCAGACACTGGGCTACTCCCCTCTCCCTGCTTTACACATTTTGCTGGTTCTTACTCCCTTCTCTGCTTTACACATTTTGCTGCTTCTTACTCCCTCCTTCACACAGCTTTCTGTTTCCCTCACCCCTTGCTCACCTAGAATGTGAATTCCTGGAAGGTAGGGGTGACTACAATATTCCTAGCATCAAGATGAGTGCTGGGGGCAGAGGATATTCAGCTGAATGAATGAGTAGGGACTGATTAAGCCCATACTGTTTCTCTCAGCTGGGCTCCTTTCCAGCTATGTGACCTTGGGCTAGTGGTCCTCTGATCCTCAGTTTGTGATTAGTAAAATAAAGAGTGCTAATGCCTGCCCACAAAAAGGTTTTTGTTTTTGAGACAGGGTCTTGCTATGTAGCCTGGCAAGACTCTGAACTTCCAATCCTCCTGCTTCAGCCCCTCAGCTGCTGGGATTATACTATGCCCAGAACCATGAAAGAATTTTTTTTTTTTCACATAACTCTTAACTGTTCCTCAAGGGCACTTCCTATTGTTGAGAATTTGGGACAAGGTAGAAATGCAGGTGGGCAGCTTGGAAGGGGGCTAAAGTGGTATAATTATACCACTCCCAGCTCCTTTCCTCCAACAAAGAGACATCAA